GCCGTGGACAATCAGTGTCTGTGGTGTGGACTCTGTCCTGGCCTCCATCTCCAGGAGTCTCTGCCTGGTTTTCTAGTAACATTCATGTAAAGTGAGGTCCTCAATGCCAGCCCCCAATAGGCAGTAAAATGAGCTTTACCGTGAGCATTCCTTTAACTAGACGCAGCCCTATCCTGAAGAGCACGTCCGGCTTTAAATGCCTTACTGAATAGAACTGCAAGATTTATGTAATTTCCATACGATTTCCTTTTGAAAGAGAGAGGATGGGATGATAGACTCTAGAGGGAGCACTTTCAGGACATCCCTGTGAATAACTGGGCCACAATGCAGCTTCGGTGGGTAGACTCACTGTTCCATGTCCACCACCTGCCTCAGGCTGTGGCTTTGTAAATGGGAAGGAATCAGCACAGCAATGGGTTTATGTCCTGGGAAGCACACATCAGAGGCCATCTGAAAAGCCAGTTGGTGGGCATCCCAGCTGTGTGATGTGCACCAGTGGAAAACGCCATGATGTTCTGTGATGATGATGTATTTTAATGCCTAGTTATGGAGCTCTTCTTTTATGCTAGGGGACACATCTTACAACCCCATGGACATGTGGTCACTGCCGCTTCTTACATGGGCCCACGGAGGTGCTTTCTCTGGCGGCGAATAGAAAAGACAAGGCCAGGAACACAAAGGGGACAGGGGTCGGGTCCAGGCCCTGGATGCCTCAGATCAACAGGAGCAGCTGTTTCTACCTGAGAAGGGCACCTGCCCGAAAGTCAGACTTTCACATGCTTAGGAGTGTCTCTTTTACTCTTTGTTTTCTTGTGGTTGCTTGGGTGTTTTTGTTTTGTTTTGTTTTTTAGAATTTGCCCGACTTGTGCATGTCAGCTCTAAGGTAAATACTGTTTAAAATATTTTATTATGATGTGGCCATCACCATTTTTCAACCAGATAGTAATATGTACAACCAAAAGTTATTTTCTCTCGAATTCTTTTTTCTCTTAAATTCTTAATCTCAGGCAAACCCAGAGATGAAGCAAAATCAGGAATATTTTTGTCTTGAAAATATCCATGGGATGGCTCGTGTGGGTTTTGAGATTATTTGTTCATCATTTTCTTTCTCCAATTGTTTTTACCAATAGTATCTTTGGAATACAAAAGGATATATATATAGCCAAGCATTTTATTTAATGCAACTTTACACCCTTAACCATCCACAGGAACTTAAAAAAGCGGTGTTGCTATTGTTGGTGGTAACTGTCAGGAAGGCAGGCGGGGCGCTAGGTGACTGGCATTCGTTCTGACCCCACTCTGCTCCCCAGCAGCCTGAGCTCTGCCGCCTGAGAGCGGGAGCCTCCCTGAAAGGGAGCTGAGAGGCCATTTCCATGGAAACCCAGTCAGTCTCTTCTACCGTTTCCAAACCCAGGCTGTGCAGCACGAGCTGCGTCTGACTCCGTCCGAGGGGGATGCTGCTGGTCCCACACGCACTTCCCTTCGTGGAAAAGGCATGCTCCTGCATGGGCACATGCGCATGGCATGTTTGCAAATGGATTCACACCACTCCCATTGTCGAGGACCCTGGAGCCGACTCTTGTTAGATGAGCAGCCACTTCCCCAGCCATCCACTTCAGAACGTTGATGTTTTGAATGTTGAGATCTCTTAAAGCTAGGAAATCTGTGTGTTCAGTAACATAACAATGGATACCAAGAGCAGTTAGAAGGAGGAATCGTTGAAAAACCATTTCGGGCTGCCTCGTGTGGTCTAGAAGCACCACCTAAAGATGGAAAGGCTGAATTACTTCCCAGAAAACCAGGGGCTGGTTCTTTCAGGGAGACACAGCCAGTGTTTCTAGCATGTCTCTGCTGTGGACGCTGGTGATGGGGATTGAGGAGGCTGAGGGCAGCCTGGACTCTGGGTTCACAGGAGCCTGTGCAGGCAGGAGGGCAGAGAGGCGTCTCACCAGGAGGAGAGGGCATCAGGCCCCGAGGACGGGGAACGCTGCCCGGTCAAACGGTTCCCGCATTCCTTCACGCGGCCAGCAGGTGGCACCCCTGGGATGTGCACCCCACCTGCCCAACACGAAACCCTGGAAATGAAAACAAACCTTTTGAGAGAAAGGCCTCTTTCCTGTGATTTCTTTTTTCTTTTTCAATAGAGTGAAAGCTCTAAAAATGAGCTAAATCAATATAGTTTTAGTTTCATGATGAAAAGGGACATTTTTGAAACTTTCTCTTTAACTGAAACTAGTTTTATTTTAAAATTAAGAGCATAGCACCCGTCTAATTCCGTGGGTGTGGACTTCAGCACCACGCCTGCCATTCACAGCTAGTCTCGTGGCACAGGTGCACTTGTGCTTGCAGTCTGAACCTGAGTAATATTTATTTAGTGACCTTTCGTTGGACCCTCCATAGGTATCATTGATCTCTTCACAGTGCACACTTAATGATGGTCCAGTAATCTCAAAACAAAAAAGGCCCTTCTTTAAAGACTAATCAATAAATTAAACAAAATGAAACCCACACAATGTCTCCCCACCCCCAAAACTAGCAGCTGTGCGTTGTGTTTCTACTGAAACCTGATGTTTTGAAAGTAGTTCTGGTTCTTCACCCATCCCACCCTGGAAACGCAGCAAGAGTCATCAGTTATTTTACCCTACCCTCCCAAAATATTATTAATCCAGTGTTCTTCAGCTTTGCAAGATGCAAATTGGGAAAGTATTATTAATTAGGTTTTTTAAAAAGGCATATTCTTCTATAACAAGAAGGACATATAAACCAAGACATGAAAGTATTTGACAGGACATTAAGTTACCACAGGCACTGGTTAAAACACCTATTTTCTTATCAAACAATGGATTATACTTTCGTAAATGACATTTAAACACGCAAAAATGAGCACAAAAACTTGTATAGGTAGTGACAATATGATTTTCCCTCAGTTATTTGGCTATAATACCTCACTTTAAATTTGAGTGGAAGAATCAACTTCCTCCTGCCCCAACAAAAAAGAACATCTCAAAAATGTTTAGCCATATTAAAATGAGTACATTTTAAATAAATGTTCACTATGTACTTGATTTAGAAAGTTTAAGAATCTTTTTCTCAATCAAAGAGTAATACTAAGTATATATTAGTGGCTGGTAGGAAAAATGTGTTTCATGATACATTTTTAATACAGATGCTGGCACCAAGATTAGCTTCTCCTGGATAGAATGATTTTTGCTGCTTTCAAATATGCTTCCATATGTGAGTGTACGGGTTTGGGGTTTACCCACATAAGGTGTCATTTGAAAAATCAGCTAGTTAGGTTCAGTCTTTAATTTATTTTTTTGGACAGTATTTACTTAGCAACTGACTGAATAGTCTTATGATCAAACTTTAAATGTGTGTAAACAGCTGTCACTTTAACAAAAATCAGGTCTAACAATTGGATTTGGAGTTGTTGCTCATGATATTCAGAGACTATTGGAAGTCCCTCATCACTGTTCTGCCTCAGATCCCTCTTTTAAAGACCCCAGTTCCCCTTAGGCTAAAGGGCGGTGAAAGGCGCACCCCGAAGAGCTCCCCAATCCTCTTCACTCGGGACCTTCTCATTCTCCCTGGGAGCAGGTCGTAAATTAGACTTCTCCTCTAATATAATATGGAAAACATCAACTTCTATACCCTGAGATCTAGGGTTCTGTTCCCTTTCTTAGGACTAAAGGAGAATACTGAAAACCGTTTACACATTGAAGTGTCAAAATATGACATTGATACACTTAAAATCAGACCAGCTTCATGTATTTCCACCCTGATCCCCGACATTCTCCTCTGATCTCGAGAAAGCCTGCCTGTAAGCAAATGCTTTGCTGTCCTGGCCTCAGCCCCCAATGTCCACAGTGGCTGTCTGAGTGGAAAGCAAATTGAAATCTAGGAGCAGGAGACATGCAGTAAATGTTTTTAAACTGTGATTCTTGATCTGGACAAGAATTCAGGTGCTCGCTGAGGCGAGATGTGGCGTGGAGTGTGCGCTGATTCTTCCTACTAGGGGTAATATTGTGCACTAAGTTGCTTTATCCTTGTCATTTTTGGAGAGATACAAATGTAATAGAAATAAGGAGGATTTTTTTTCTTAATTTTTACATTCATGGTGGGTGCAAATGCACCTGAAACAGCTCAAAGTGAAAATGTGTTTGCAGTGCTGTCTTATTCTGGAGGCAGCCTAGTTAAGAAGTTATATGGAGGGCAATATAATTATAAAGCTCTTTTTATAAAAAATTGTCTGATTAGGGAAATGGCAAGACCTAAATAAGAAACAGGGTGGGGTCACCTAGACAGGCTTCAGCAGATGAGTGCATGTGCTGCTCAGGGCCTCTCCACAGGCTGACCTGGTGGATCTAAACTGATCTATGTTCTACTCATGTCAGTCAAGAGTAGAAACTATTTCAAGGTATATCAGACCTACCTGAGAGCACAGCGGTCATCTGAGACTGCTGGCCTGAATTCCCATGGCCCAGACGCAGGTTGCTGCCCTCACTGCTCCCTGGGGCCACTCAGGCTGGCCACAGCCCTGGCCAGTCCATACAAGGGGCACCTTTGTAGTGCTGGGGTCTGAGTTCAGACTAAGACCATTCCTCAGACCTTGGTGTACGCCTCTTCATGTGTGAACCTGGCTTCGTGTGTGGGCTGGTGTAGTCACAAGCCCTGTGGTCACCGGCCCTGAGAACGAGGGGAGAAAAGGCAGGTTGTTTGGAGGGAATACGGATTCTAGAGCGAGCAGCCTAGGGACCAAAGCACGGGTCTGCTCCGGGGACTGTGGGGCACTGAGCGGCCGCGAAGCTCCCGGGGCTCTGGAGGGGGTGTGTGGCCACGGCGACTTCCAGCTCCACCAGGGAGCTCCCCGCTCCACTCTGCCTCTCTCAAGTAGGCGGTTAAGCAACAGAGTTAGTTTGCTTTTGGGATTAAAAAAAAGTTACTTGTTCAGGGAATTTTCTTTCTTTCCATGTTAACACGGTTTGCGCTTTGTATTGCAGGTGCCCCACGCCTGGCTGCGACGGCTCGGGACATATCACCGGCAATTACGCTTCTCATAGGAGGTAAGGAGATGCTGCTTCTCTCTCCAAAGCGCTGTTTCTCACCGAAATGACAGGAATGGCGCTTGCTGCAGGCGCCAAGGCTTGCACAGTTTGACACCACGGGCAAAATTCAGGATCTAAAGCCTCTTAGCACCAGAAAGCAGTGGCGTCTTCATTGGAACTTCACTTAGAAAGCAACCCCTCTATTTCCAGGGCCACCGGCTCCTCTCAGGACATCTCACGTGCAGTGCATGGGGCCGCGCTGAGAAACAGTCCTAGTCACCCAGCAGCGCTTCTTCCTAAATTGGAAGAGTAAAGGAAAGAGAGCAGTATCTGCTATAGATCCCTGAGAGCAGCCATCAGGAGACACGCATTCCAATGCCATGAGAGTTGGTCTTTTAAATCTTTAGAGTGGACCCGGAGCTGCAGGTATTCTAAGCAGGCCTCAGCATGTACAGTTATCCCCAGCAGGCGTCAGTCGAGCTCAGAGCTGCAGAAGTACTTATGTCACCAAGCCTAGGCACTGTCACTCCCAAGGAGAGGGTAGTGTCTAAAACATAATACAGAGACTTGGTCCTGTGAGATAAACTCTCTATCCTACTTGACATTCAGTAAATACTGAATGAACATGGATTTAGGACAGGCACTGTTTAGCTGAGGATTGAAAGAAATGGGGGAACTATTAGAGAACAAGCTTGCCAGTTGTTAAAGATGGTACATGAGGACCATTCGTGGGGGAGTGGGTGTGGCAAGGGCTGTGCGGGGACTGGGCTCGACTCCGACGCTAATAAGGCCAGGTGGGAATTCACAACCGAGGAGCTGTACCAAGGTTGGGGTCAGTGGATAGAAAAGTCCCCACGGGAAGCATCCAGGAGAAGGGATTTCTGGCCAAATGGACTTGATGGGGTCACTGCTGACAGCCGGCCAGGGTGGAAGGATATCCAAAGACCCTGAGGATGCTTTTCTATCCACTGGGCTCAACTCCGACGCTAATGAGGCCAGGTGGGAATTTACAACCGAGGAGTTGTACCAAGGCTGGGGTCAGTGGGGAATTTTTCTTAAACCGACTTAGAAGGATTCTTGCTCACGCTGGATCCTACAAGGACAGAGAGGGAAGCCAAGGTCAGGCGCATTCTTGTGAAGGACTCAGAGGAGCTCAATGTAAAGTTTTGGTCAAGAAAAAGGCCCTTGTGAATACATTGTCCACACAAAGGTGAATCCGCTACACGCAATACATGTTTAAGTCATGTTTAGGTGTACCAACAGCAAATGCAAAGGTAAGGACAAGAATATTTCTGAAAGACCGATTTAAAGGAAGTCTCCCAGTATGGGAAGCAGTCCTGCATCTATCAAAAAATAAGCTAAGCTGTAAGACGGCCGCTGCCTTTCGTCTCTCTAAGTTTTAGATTATGAAGTAGGCAGTCCAAAAGCAGGTGAGGCCTGCTGCTTTAACATATTGCTTGCAAGAAAAAAGAAAGAGAGAAAAGAAGGAAGGGAAGGAAAGAAAACGGGAAGAAAGGGGAGGGA